ACAGTAAGCAGCCATCGATAACTGAGAATTCTCAACCCGTGGCGATTATGATAAGCCCTGCTCTTACGATCTTTGTTTAGTTGTGGATGAGGATTCTTCCTGATGATGATGATCTCTTTATATATTGAAAGTGTTTTTAAGCAAGTCTTGTGCCATGTTTTTCTTTCTTTCATCTCCCCTATTCGTCGCTATTGTCGTGGCTCCACAATAAAGTGCCGCCGAGCTCGCAACGCGACCGGCGCCGGCGCGACGCTCCGATCGCTCGCCGTTTATTATAAACAACTAGACTCACCTAATATTGATTATTTTGGTACATTAGACATCGGCAACATGTGTCGCCTGAGATGAGAGGGGTGAACGTCACAGGAAAAAACTGATAGATTTTATTAGTGACAGGAAATTTTAAAAAACTTGTTTAGGGAGCAGTTTTTATGAAGATTTTGATAATATGTTAACCGTTATTTTCCTACTAATCTATCTGGAAGTCATTGGGCTAGGCCACCTTATTTATGTTTAGCTGTGGACGTCTTATGGCTGATGTGATGATGATGATGATGTCGTTAAGGTAGGTACCTCTGCAAGCTGCCAGTATGATGTAGACTGAGATAGAAATACTTGTTGCTTTTCATTTCTTTTACTTTTAAATAAATTGCTTGCAACTATCTACACCATTTACACGTACACATCACGCCACTCAAACAAGGATTTGCGGAACAAAAAACAATGAGCGTGAAAATTGAACCTCCTTCTCCTCTCTTGAATAAATAGTACCTAACACCTTTTTTTCTTTTCTTTTTAAAGAAACGTAACCCCACACTAGGATTTTCTCCTGTGTCGTGGGTGTGTATACAAACATACAAGTTCACATACACAATGACACCCAGACCTGGAACAACAATTTGTGGATCTCACAAAGAGTGGTTCCGTGCGGGAATCGAACCCGCGATACCCGCACCAGTTGCCCAGCCACCGCACCAACCGTGCTGTCAAACTCGAAACTAAAGTAGACAAAATATTAAAAATATTATAAAAAATAAATATTACCCTACTGTTGGTCACATACGCACAGTATAGTGCATACCTACTACATAGACTAGGTTTGGCACGCGACTGCATCCGCATTCCACTCGTAGCCAGTGTACCAGTGTTGCACCCCGGACAGACAGCTCATTTACATGTATTCCTGCCTAAGACATGTTTATTAAGACGGCTTGCGCGTGCGCATCGTTTAGTTTAACTCGATAAGTTTAATGGGTTTTGGTTTAGGTGGCGGTTAAATTAATAAATGTTAAATATTTTTTTAAGTTGGTTACCTAAGTGCAAATGGGGTAAGCAGAACTCTAAGAATACGTTACACCCAATGTTTTCCTGTTAAATGTTAAATATAATGCGATATTCATCTAATTCTAACAAGAGTTGACTCTATAGTCACATTCTATACACCAAACTAATTGTATACTGCGTGGCATTGCCTACAGAAAATTACGAAAATTTTCACTAAAAGCTCAATCTGAACTTCAAACCCCGAAGGAACAAGCAGAGGCCTAACTACCTACTTGTGTCAGTGAATTAAACTGTCAAACACCAAGCGGTCACCGGTGACCGCAACCTATTGTTCTATAATTGTGTCTACAAAACCGGTACTCGACGAGTTAAATAAAATTACCTTCACAATTATATTTTGTAATCGGTACTTGATCACAAAGTTTTTACTCTGAACAAAGTTTCAAGTATTGGCAGACTGCAATGGATGCGTTAACAAACGGATAAACTGCTCATGCTTGCCAAATCTCATTATTTCAAAGTAAAACAGAGTGGGAAGTGCTTTACTGGACTCTGGATTTACAGATTTATTTAGGAAGTATCTCTCGTGCAGAAACCGGATTATCATCACATTAGGATTTGTCACCACACCGCTAGATAAAGTCCTAGGTCCTAAGGCCTAGCGGGTTGCCGAGGTTCCGGCTCTAAGAAGAGGATTAGGAACGGGGTGGTTTTTAGTCAGTAAGAGGCTGACGCTCCCTCTCGCCTCGCCTCTTGCTTGGGCATTATACGACCACTCTATCTACGAAGCTGGCAGGGGCAGCAGAAAGTATGCCTAGGTCGTAAAAGTAGATATTCTTCCACGCATGATCTAATTTGTAACAGTTTAACCAGTTACAATTGGTCAATCTTAGACTGTACGTCCCTTGTGCATTTATTTGCTAAACCTTGTCTGTCGTGGTTTGTGTGTTGCTTTGCATAATTAGCCTTTCTTTATTATAACTATTTAGTTCAAATGGTACACAAAAATGTAATGATGTTTGTCATTTATCATCAACCCGTTCTGTGCAGTCCTGACCCTTAAATTTCTCAAGGCCATGTGAAATCTTAAATACCCACTCAGGTGATTCTGTGTAAGTACTGACGTCAGAAACCACATCACTTGTCATTATAAAGTAACAACTCTTAGTTCATTCCATCGATTACAACCAGGCGAGATAGCGCCCAAACCGCGACCTATTCTTATTATAAAAATCTTAATCAACTTGTTTCTTCATTCAGAGTCATTCATGCGGTATTTAAATTATGCATTTCTGAGAATAAGGCTGGTGGGGTCGGCGAGCCAGCTTGTATAATCTCAGTTTGTTTTGTTTTAAACGGCGCCGCCCGTTTACAGACAATTATCTTTTGCGGACCTTTTTTTATGAGATAATGCTTCCGACAAATTGCAAAGTAAAGAACAGATTGTGGCGTAAAATATAGACTTTGATTGTGGTTCAGGTCGGTTTTTAAAGGTTGCGCTGGGGTCCAGTGTTCTTTTATTTTGACATGTGAGTACTTTATAGGTATCATAATTCCAGATACGTATAGATATGTAGGTACATAATGCATGCTAAGATTGGTGAAGGTGTCTAGCCTTTGGGCTTTTCCCTATTGTTGTCTGTCACTACACAATGTACCTATCATGCATTGTTTCCTTATTTGAGTCTCGGAAGACTCCATAAAAGTCAATGTGTTTATTTCATCAATCTTAATTAGTGAAGTGTTTAGTTTCCAAAATTAAGAGTTAAATTGTAACCTATTGATTAAGTACTTAGCGATGGCTATGAGAACCACTGACCGACCCACCACTGCTGTTGATGAATTTAATTCCTCAAGGTTCAAATGCACCGCGTTGATGCATTGTTAGAGGAGGACTTGCCCTGAATAGTTTTATCAATCACTAGTGGTATCAATCACTGACAGGGAGAGAGAAACCAATCACACATTCGTTTTTTTTCCTATCTATGTACATACCTAATACCTACTGGATAGTGGATATTATCATAATACTGGAATATTGAGTTAGATAGCAATGAACAATAGTGGCTGGAGGTAGGTGGCCTGTCCAAGTTGCAGGGCAGTGCGTGGCGCCTACTTATTTGTGCGCGCCGGTGCCGGGGCGCCGCGCCGGGCCGCCGCCGCCGCCGCCGGCGCCCCGCGGTCCGCGCGTATGTTGGGAAGCTGCGACTGATAACGGACGAAGCGGAGAGGGATAGGTTATATAGTTGTGATTTTTTGTTGTATGGCTTGTTTGTTTTTTACTGCAATAAGTAGTTATTTAAAAAGTCACGTAGTATTGTAGGCTGTGTAACACAAAACAACATTAAATATTATATGTAGGCGTGTTGATTAATGTTTTAGGTGCCGAATTATAAAAGTGGTAACCTAATTGCCTTTGGTATATAAAATGTCTAACAAAATTGTCTTAACCGATGATCAAGTAGGTGTAGGTAAGTACGTGGATTTGAGTTAGGTAATTTAATTAAAGAAAATAATCTTCCTTTATTTTCACTAACTTATTCAAACTTATGACTACCTACTACTTACAGTTAAGTTAGGTTTAGGACGTCAGCCGTTAGTAAAATTAAGTTAACATTAGGCTAGGTATAGAAACTCAGTAGCCCGCTCCCTCTTGCCCGTACGCTCCGCCTGTCACTGTGTCGCAGGCTCGCAAGAGCCCCACTAATGATTGTTCATGATTTATTTGCCCAGCTTATTTTTATAGTCGCCTGATTCCACACGATGATGGAAAGGTGTACGTCTCCATTATTTTTTACTTGTGTCCCGACTATTTGTGGGAGCAGTTTGTCGGACAAGTTAAGTAAGAAGTTAGAATATAAATAAGAACTAGGTTTGGGAAAGTCGCAGATTGTGGTTGTAGTCTTTTTTTACTTATTTTTCTTCTAAGGCATATTAATTGGTACTTTTTTTATTATAGAGTTGGTAGGTACCTACCGACTTAGGTCATTACTTTGGTCGGGAACGTTTGATTGCAGTTTCTACACGATTGTTGCCATTCAGTGGTTGTTGCGATGTAGGTTCCCTTCCCGCATAAATATGTTAATTCTTGTTACCAGTATACGGTTCACCCGCCCCTAATAACGATATCATTTATGATCAGCGGGGTTATTCTGTAAGATGTCAATTCGAGCTCTCGAAGTGAGGACAATCGGATTCTCACCCGTCATTGGTCGAGATTATTCTCAAAACCAATTAATTATGACATGGTGGACCGCGATCAAACTCACTTCGGGAGTTTGAATTGATATCTTACAGAATAACCTAGCTGTACTTGTTTAGATAAAGGCAATAGATCGTGAACAACTAGATCTTACAGATGCATCAACCATGGAATGAGTTTGTTATCAATTTAAAGGTAAGCACACAAAATTGTACTATGTGAAACTAATGACGTATCAACTCTATTTCCTAATTGGAATTGTATCAAATTGAACGTTTTTGACTTTGGATTAAAGTTAGGTATTAAGAAAAATTTAATAAATATAAATATTACTTTTGGTTCGCTCGAGTTCAATGCGAGTTACGAGACTCGCAACTCGAGTCGAGTTCGTACGTCGTAACTCGAATTTAATACGAGTTGTATTTCTGATCTATGTCGAGTATCGCGTCACAACTCGATACCTTTACAAAAACGATTATTTAGAGGGCTTACCAACGAAAATAAAACCAAAATATTCACATCAGTTTAATTTATTAAAGTAAAAATTACTTATGTATGTATGTATTACCACAAAACAAATACATCTTCCTTCAGATTTTGTGTCACAAAAATAAAATTGCTATCTGTATGACACTGCGACGGTTATTTTGATGAGCACTTACGTCCTTTGGCAGTCATGGCTAGCACTAAACTTATGTAAAAATAAGAGAATTTTAACCCTTAATGATGAAACAAATAGGTTTAAAATGCATTGAAGATATTTGAGACACCCATAAAGCAACATCTTATTGATGACAGTATAAATTCATATTCTGAACGACACTTTGCCAGTTATGTTAGAAGTCTCATGGACTACAGGGCCAAACCAGGACAATTTAAGTCTTCGACTTACGAATAAACATTTGGAAAATAGATATAAAGATTAGTACTTCATAAATATTAGACGCAAGTGCCCACAACAACAATATACCGAAAACAATTGAAAATTCCTATCGAATATTCAGATCTTAATATAAAATACAATATTGACATAAACTATGTATTGTTTAGTATGCTATAACAACCATTTTATTCTGTAACAATTTATAGAATTATGTTTGAGCAGTAACGAATTGGACAGACAAACATAGGACTGTGTTACTATTGTATTATTTTTATGGGATAGGCCGGGCATACTAGCAGCCGGATCAACTGATGACACCTACAATATCAGAAGAAGAATAAATATTTACAACTGCATTACGGGCCTTTTAACCCAGAGGTCACCCAATGAAGTCTCATGTATTCTCATTGGGAAAAACTTAAGTTATGCCACCATTTCACAATTCATATTAACAGGTCTATTTCAAACGGTAGTAATAATGTTTAATTATTATTAGAAAAAGGGCTGATAAGGGCTAAGTACAATGTTTATACTTTCTGTATCAACAGAATAAATAATGTAGACTGTACAATCCATTACCACAAAAACACTATGTACTTTAGACTTTATCATTATAGCCGCAGTGTCTATTTTCTCTTGCATGTTTGTGCGGGTATAACTTTAAATAATTCTCTGTAGCATTCACCTGTAATGGTACAAAAATAACATTGGACCCAATTCACTCCAACACGTTTAAAGGGTACTATAATAACTATTTATTAATTTAATTGTGTAGGGTAAACATCTATGTACCATATTTAGTATATAAAAAGTATATATTGGACGATAGATATAGTTGGCGAAACAGTAGTTTTACTGTTAAAACATTTTTAGAAATATAGAAGTATATTGTCTTGCAATAAGGTTCAAAAACACTTTACAAATGTTGCAAATAAAAATAATCCTTCAATTTACTGAAATATTTGGTACATAGACGTTTTATTCGGCTTGAATACATATGAGCTTGCACTATTAAGGGATCTAAGTCATCAGAGATAAATAGAACCTGATTGTACAACCATATATAATTCGAAGCCCCAGCCAAGCTTTGACGATTACTCGGTCTAATTTAAATCAACTGTCAAGTTTAGCAAATAACTCATTTCTTTAAAAATTAATTGTATCTAATTGCAGCTAAACAGGACAGTTTTTTCATTATTTTTGAACCAACTAATCGTCCATACACTTTCAGCCTTTTACTGAATCTCTTGTGAGCTTTTCCATGTTCGTTGTTGATGCTAGACTATTACTATTAACTATTATTATTAAAATATATTTAATTAAGTACATCATAATACATTATCAGAGTTACTGTTTAAGGACACAAGTTAGATATTCATACTTAAATTTCTTGGATATCTCGCATTTCAATTTTGTTTATACTTATCGCCGTTTACACCAACGTCTCGGTTAATTTTAAGAAACTCCTAAGCTAAGTTCCTCTTTTTGGATTTTACCAACTTATACCTACCACACACCTAACAGTGGAAGTAGGTAAGGATTTAGTTTCGGTGTTTCCCCCCGCTAAGTAAGTCTTATTTAGGATAAGTTGGTGATAACTCCCGTTAGTTTTTATTTTTGTCTAAGTTTCGAAGACCGTTTATAGTTGTAGGGAAAATCTCACAAAAGACGAATATCTAAATCTAATTTAATTATTAATATCCCATCTGAAACAAAAACTACATTTATTCAAATTGTCTTTCACCAATATGGCGTAGATTTCCATCAAAAAATCAAGTAAATATATGAATAATATATAATCAACTATTGCTTTATACCATGGAAACAGTACCACATATTAAAAAAATATTGCTATCTTTGCATAACACGATTAAAAGGAAATTTAATTTAAGACACACACGCTAGAATACCGAAAAACGACTAAATTTTAAGTTGCGTACCATCTCTATCATTTTCCAAAGAATTTGTACTGACAGGACAAGCGCGACTTAAAATTGAGTAGCGTTGAATATTCGAGCAATACACACTGAATCCACGGCACTGAGAAAATCTTTAAAAATTTCAATATATTCTAATTATACCAATTATACGAACATTGAAACATTAGGTATTGGTGTTACATCGACTTTTAAGACTATGGGTAATTTGTTTAAGACAAAGGACCCGAAAAAATCATTATGGTGTTAAAAACCTTTACATTTTTATTGCTAAGCAAATTCCGCGGTTAATCCATTTCCAATCTTATTCGCTTATTTTTGGACTGAAAATTGGTTAACAACGAAAGTTACTAACCTTATAAGCTACACGTCAAAATCGTTAAAAAGTAAATAATATTAATTTCAAATCATTGAGTGATATCAGTAGATTTAAATCGCAAACTCTTTGCTAAGTTCTAACACAAAAGTTAATAATTAATATTTTTAGTATATTGAACAACTAAGGCATTTTTGAATACATGAATGTACCTATAATAAATATTTCATCCTTTTTCGTAAAAGGCGCGACTTTAAACCTTTATAGTTAGAACTTAAGCTCCAAAATGCACAATTTACAATATTAATAAAATTCTAACAAAAATGTACTTGGGAAATGACAGACCATTTAATTGAACAACGAAATCAAGGTGGTAAAGGAATAATTGACAAAATGCTGACTATACTTGAACCAGGATATAAACAAACATTATATATTATAACATATATAAAAACATTAGTATTCAATATAAGCTGTGACAGGTTCATACATGAAATGGTTCACCACTGAACTGAGAGAATAACTTTTATAAATACGAATAACTTGGCACATGATAATTTATACCTACTACACATGACAATAAAGATAAATTTAATGTGAATGAATTGATGTTGGAAATCTGTCTAATATTTAGTTTACAGGTAACATGATTTTATACAATAACTCACTGTTTTTAGGCATGCTATTAAAATTCTTTATTCATTCAAGTTTGGTGTCGTATGTTCCAGCTTAACCTGTCAGAAGTACAAGCAAAATAAGTAGACAAAAATCTTATGATTTCAATAAATACCTGGGAGCACGGTAGTGCTAGCCAAGACGAATAATGTGTGCGTGTCTACGTTTTCTCAATTTTTTTGGAAAGTTTGTTATCAGAAGTTTAGAAATTAAAGATAATTCTTTCTTCCGGCTTCCAAACTAGATTAAAGGTTAGTATTGAGTCTTCATCACGTTTCACATAATTTAAAACAGATGATGAATAATTAAAATAAAGAAAATGCTATCAAAAACATTAACAACATTAACTTGATATGTTTAAGCCAGTACATAACCAGCAAGTAACTTTACTTGATTACATGACTTTCAAAAATACGTGTTTTGCTAATTGAAGTAAATAAAGACTGCATAGTGAACCACTAATGAACGTTTGTATAGGTCAGCATTTCCCCAGTTACCCGCTTACCGTCGCCTGTGTATGTTCAGTAGTTGTTCCTGAAGCTCCTGTTGGGTTTGAAGCCGCCGCCACCACCGCCACCGCTGGGCGACGAGTTCAAGAACAACTCGACGTAACGGTGATCCATATTGTTCTTGTCACGTCTCATTGCCTGGCGACAGAAATCAGGAATAATTTATTACAATATCTCAAAGAGAAACTTTATGTATCAGTATCAGCAATGGATGTGTTGTGACTGAAATATAACTATGTGATAACCGTAGAAGAAAAATTAAATAATGTGGATAGTCATTATAAAAATAGCCAATAACAACTTATCTACTCACCCTCATAGCATCTTCGTGACATTCGAACTCTACATCAGCTTCGCCAGAAGGCCGACCACTGTTGTCATACAGAATGTTGATGTTCATGGGTCGGATCGGCTTGAAGAACTGCAATATTAAACATAATATTATTACAATTATCTATAATAGGATTCTACCAAGTATGGTGGCTCTTTCCCACAGGACAATACAGTCCAATGGCCAATACTATAAAGTATACTAACATAGGCGATATCTTGTGGAGTAGCCTTGAATGGCAGGCCGCGCATGTGTACGCAGTGACACCCACTGCCAGCACGACGGAATCCACCGCGGCCGCCGCCGCCATAACCACCGCCTGTTGAAAATATTATAACAATATTAGCATTGTTATAGCTATGTAACTATTTATAATAATTTGTGCCTGCAATTATAATAAATACAGCAGTTTAACTTAAGTATAAAGGTGACCTAGCGGAAAAGTTCATGATAGTAACATAGACATATCTAAATTCTTATGTTTTTATTCTTTGAATGACTAACATTCATTATATTAATAGGAGATACCCATTAATTAATTACAAGCAGTTCCATGCAAACTGCTTACCTTCTATAAAAGCAGACTAAAAGCAATAACCACCACCAAGTAAAACTCACCCCTACCAAATGAACCTCGCCCCCTATTGCCGAATCTTCCAGAAAATCTGTCGTTCCTGTCGTACGGGGTCGGTCTGTAACCTCGTGATGAGCGGAATCCACTGTCATTACGAGCAGTGTAAGCACGAACCTCGTCTGCGGAACTCAGGAATACTTCTATGTACCTGTTGGGGAAAAATAAATGGTAAAATTGTTGTCATAATATTTGTGACTTGGCGGGTCTCTACCGGTTTTATGTTTTTGTTATAGAAGTTAGGAAGCTGTAAGTTGATTTATAGTGTAGAGTAAATATGTTGTAATTTGTATGTATTAACTACCAATCAAGAATTTTAAGTAAATTACATAATTAAATACAAAATTAAAACCAAGAAAAATAAGTAATTAATTACATAAATTCTTATAGTTATTGCAGTTTAATGGCTCAGTGTTGTTTTGATCATGTAAGAATTATTTCGTAATGTTTCTTTTGTTCAGTTATAAATAGAAAACCGCAATCCAATTAAGCAATAGCTGATAAGGGATATATTTGACATATCTTCGTAAAGGCATATTTCATAACGTTTATCAGGCTGGAAGCTTACTTGAAGGTTCAAATTTTCCTGTTCCTGACTCATCATAGCTAATCTTGCAGAATAAATAGTACCCTCCCCTTTGCACTCTCCCATGCTTGCGAAATAAAATATACAGTACATAAACATCTCAAACTATAACTAGATAATTATAATGATGACATTACAATAAATATGTACATAATCTTTGCTGAAAAATATATAAATTATGTTTGCGTTTTTGAAGCAATTTTCCTTTGAGAAATACATATAACCTGAAAACCCTTATACTAACAAATACCACTTTTCATTTAAATAATATTAATATGTCGATCCCGCAGTCCATCTTGCCCGCTTCGTCTCTTCGCCCCGCGCCCCGCTCCCCTCGCCCCGCGCTCTCCCAACCTCTGACAACTCAACAACCAATCACTAATACCACTCCCGAATGCCACCTTTTGAGGACCAGCCATTAACATACGGCATTGCAAAATTATTCAATACCGTATCTAAGGGAACTAGCCCCATGCAACACTTTTATGTTTAAGTCAGTACAATAAAAACAATAACACAAAACAAAATAAAATGAAAATAATCTGCACCCAAAACAACAGCAGTTGTTCGTCATTGGTTTTGTGTAAGACGCCAACTGCCAGACGAACATTAAACAGAAAAGTGCTGAACAAAGGTAGCATTAAGAAAGTGTCAAATTGTAAATTGCTTTTTGTAATATACATGTTTCCATTACACAAAATCCCATAATTCAACTATTACGCCCACCATCCTGTTACTGGCCAATATGATTTCTCACCATTCTCAAATTCCATTAAAATGTCACCAAATAATTCATTTCATTCACCAAAGTAGAAAACCATATAAGTAGACCAATAACATAGGAGGCCCCTTACTTAACCCACTACACCAAATATAATATTGCCATCAGGGTTTGTGTGGCTGTGATGGGCAAATAGGGCACCTATACTTGAAACCTACACATATTATGTAAACTATACAACCTGAGCTTTAGTTTATTGTAACATAATTTACATATGAAAGGACTTTTGATTAATATTACCAAACAATGAAAACTGTTGAGTAAAATATCAACAACCTGACATAATCACTTACAACATCCTGTTAAATGTTTTCCTGGTTAATTTTAGCTCTGATTCCATTATAATATTGTTATCCAACGAAGCAGATATTTCACAATGCCTGACAGCTATTGCCCTAAGTTCCCACCACAGCTTTGTCTCAAACCATGAGCACATTGTAAATAACTTTGCCCCCCACCTGTGTCCTATTTTCTCCCTGTCCCTGTTGAGAGCCTCTTGTGCGCTCTCCTTGTCTACGAAGTGTACGAACGCCTCTCCCGAGGCCCGCCCCGTGACGTCGGAGAGCAAGTGGACCCCATCCGTGGCGACCGTCAGCCCTGCCCCATCCGACGTGCAAATAAAGATCAGGTTATATGCCTTGAGGTAAAGGTAGCTAGCTGGGGGTAACGTACGACACGCATGCAGGGTGAATCTCATCCAATTTACACTTTAATATCTCTGAGTACAACTAAAGTACTTTAGTTATTGTTTATTTTTTCTATCGTGATTTTTCCTTGCATGCTACTATTTGTAAGTGTATTTTTATGTTCAATTAAGATAAGCATTTCTATTAACAACATACATTTCTCTAACAATTTACCCTCAGCACAGCTACCAAATATACCTAATAAAATAACCCCACACAGAGTTCTAACATGAAGTTTTTCTTGTGAATAGGTCTTACCGTCAAAGAACTGGATTATTTCTTCTTTATTGCAGCCAAAAGGCAAGCCTCGCAGCTTAACAATACCCATATCATCAGATACATTGGGTATACCATCAAAGCCACCATTCTCAGATTGACGCATGGCATTTATAGCCCATTCCATGTCTTGGCGGTCAGTGGAAAAGACTGAAAGCAAATAACATTATTTTATGACTCAACAGAAACAAAATAAATTATAAAAACTAAAAAGCAAAAAATAACTATTATTAGTACCTACTGATAGGTTACCCACCCACTGATAGGTAAGAAGTCGGTGCCATAAGTTCCATACAAAATTATTCATTAAAACCTTAATAGGTACCTAATTCACAATTTTGTGGGCATTAAGTTATATCATTATAATATGAGCTTATGGCACCGACTTCTAACCTATCAGTGGGTGGGTAACCTATCAGTACTAATAATAGTTATTTTTTGCTTTTTAGTTTTGACTTTTTGTTTGTTATTAGTTTTTGGTTTTTTGAAGTCGGTTTTTTAAATGCAGTTTTTATTTTATTATTTTATCATTTTTAGTGTAAAGCTACATAATTATACCCGTTTTGTTACTTATAATCTACATAGGTGCAAAGTTCTAATCAATACAAATTATACAAGCCCGAACACAAGGTAGTTACTGTATACCATTGAGGAGTTCCCTTAACAATTACACTTCTTCATCATCAGACCCTTAATGACAGCTCCACTCTATCTAGGTGTAAAGTCCTCATCAATACAAATTAATCAAGCCCAAACACAAGGTAGTTACTGTATACCGTTAAGGAGTTCCTTTAACAATTACACTTCTTCATCATCAGATCCTTAATGACAGCCCTACTCTATTTAGGTGTACAGTTCTCATCAATCCAAATTAATCAAGCCCAAACTCAAGGTAGTTAATATAAACCGCTTAGGAGTTCCCTCGACTGCCTGTCGGCTCCATCATCAGGTCAACTCCAGACCCTTATCAAATTGTAGTGTTTTAAAAATCCTAATTGAAAAACATAATAGACGCATTACTCGCCCATAGAATTTTCGAAAGTTCCCCTCGGTTTCCCTAGGATCCCATCATCAGATCCTGACCTCATGGAAATGGGACCATCTCGGGAGTATACCCTTTCAAACAAAACAAGAATTTTGGAAATCGGTTCACAAATGGCGGAGTACTGCGCGAACAAACAAAAAAATAAAAACAAACAAAAAAACAAAAACAAAAAAAAAAACAATCAGCCGAACATAGTACCTCCTCCTTTTTTTGAAGTCGGTAAGAATATATTTAGTGTTTCAGTTTTAATTGAAGTAGGTACAAATTTTATCAGTTTTGACCCACAATTTTAGTATCATCGTGAAAACAAGCCTGCTATTCATGTTACTCATTTTGCATTTTCCTGTTTGAATTGTACGCAAAACAAAGTTGATAGCCAATTATGGTATATGAACTAATTTGACTACAAATTTTTATTAAAAGAGACATAAGGAAAATTAAAAATACATTATTGTTTAGTGTTATTTTCACCTTAACACAACTTTGTTTAGCATGTTTTTTTAGATATTCAGAGTATTTGTTTATTAAGTACCTTTTATTCTATTACTGGTCCAATTCGAAAAATTTGATTTGTGATGGATAGGCATTTTATCAAGGTTTTACTATGACCAATAGGAACCGAACAGCGGCTGAAACCGCACGGAAGTAGCTAGTTAAATTGTCAAACACCACGGGACACCGGTGACCGCAACCTATTGTTCTTTAATTGTGTCTATAATGATGGTACTCGACGAGTTAAGTAACATAATTATAATTATATTGATTTTGCTACTTACTCTCAATGTATCTCTTGCCCATGTTATCTTTATCCTTCTTGAGAGCTTCTTCTACATCTTGCTGGCTCTCTACTTCCACGAAACATTCTCCAGAAGGACGACCCGGTCGCACCTCAGTCAAGTGCACGCCTGAAGTGAAAAACTTTAAAGTATAGTATTTGTAGACTAAAGAATATTTAGTAGCATTAATTTCTAGACTAGTCATCAAAATATAATTAATGCTTGCACCTAATTTAAATGTATAAAAACTCATAGCATTAATGCATATAGGCTGAAAATGGCAACAGAATGTTGTCACAATCATGCACCGGAACATTCAAGCACACTGTTTATGCTTAGATATTGCACACAACTTGTGTTCAGGAGATGTAAAAACTAATATGTGTATGCTTTGTGCTATTAAGACAGGAGGTACATACAACACTGTCACAGTAATATAATCATAATACGGTAAGTGACAGTGTTGTAGAGAATACTTAGTTACATTGGAGCTGGACAAAGTCAGGTTTATTATTATAACTGCAAAAGCGTGGGCGCCGGACGAAATGACCGCGCGACCCTTCCTACGTTCAATGAAAATATGCATAAATATGGAACAATTACATCAACAGCACGGAACGCATTCAAGCCTAACTCAGAAACCCAAAAAATACTACTAAAACTTGTAAGTACCTACTGTTCAGATTTTCTAAATTATCAATATTAAGGTAATAAGAATGCTCATAGAACCACAGTTCCGATTAAAGCTGTGTTCTAGAATTTCAATAAAAATGTATATATCCGCTAAACAGACAGATAACCGGTAAATTTGGCAAAGGTCAAAATGGCAAGGCAGTGACGAAATTCCAATCAAAGCAGTAATTTTGTACTTTTGAAAGAGTATAAAAATATTGTAGCATTGTTTTTCTATCACTTTTTTCAAAATGTTGCTTACCTTCTTTACCATTACACACGTTGACGCCCCGGAGAAAATCGAGGACATCTTCAACGGTGGTGGAGAAAGGCAAGCCGCGCAACTTTATGATGTAGCTGCTATCCCCAGAACCCAACATTGTTTCTAATAAAAATACCACACCAAACTATAAAGAACACAAACTGTTTAAAAATATCAAAATTAAATCTTGTCGAAGTAAAACTGAATGCTAAATTGTTTTTACGAAATACGCGTCGATCACCCGCTTCGATAGCTAGTCGGCCATTAATATTTTTTTTAAACGCTGCGTGTAGTGTTGCCATATCCTATTGCATGCCAGTCAGTTAAAACTACCCAAACTTTTTTGACAAAAGTATTTTTTTTAGTCATAAATAAATCAGTTTTAACTTTGAAATCATTAGAACAATTATTAGTTTGTTGCTTTGATTCGTGCGAGTGCATGACAGTAACTAATTTCAATCTGGCCGATTTAGACGTCATAAGGGAAGTCCTCTGCTATTAGCTCTACGCCCTATGTCCAGTCGGATTGTCGCGGAGAACCTAACTGGTTACCGGGGCTCCGGCTCGAAGCCCAGGAGAAGGAACGGGGTAGTTTTTAGTCAGTAAGTCTGACACTCCCTCTCGGCTCACCCAGGCAGAAGTAAACCGATGAGTTTCCCCTTAAAAAAAATGTCCAATCGGATTAGTAGTAGGCAGCGAGATGTATACATTTTATGGTTTGTTGATCTTGTGCTAATGATGCTGATGGTGATGGATGATGACGTACAATTAAGTTTTGACTTCAATCATAACATAAACATTATGCTTAGCGTTTACAGACTATAAGAAGGCCTTTGATTTGATCGAAACTTAGAGCTCTGCCTTAACGGCATGGCGACGTAGCCAGGAGCATGGATAGGAGCATATTGAAATGTATGCCTATTATACACATATAATAGGCATATATTTCAATATGCTAGAATACATAGCTGGCGACGTCAGTGGTACTAAGTATATTGATATCGGTACATCGATCAACGTGTTGATGCATAAAAACGCCGCCATACTGAACTACAAGAACATTCCTGCGCAGCGAGTCGTAAGGTAAGATGTCATATGGGTAATGTATTTTTTTAATATATTTGATGGGCCGACGTTTGACCACTATCTCGTCTGGTGGTAAGCGATGATGCGGTCTACGATGGAGCACGTCGTCTCATAAGCAACCTATTCAATCGTTAGCAGTACGCACAAGGAAGCGAAGGGCTTCGTGTGTGTGGGTGGAACATCTACCATGAATCGGTGACACTGCGCCGATTGTCTTGTGGTATGATCATTCCAATAGCAGTAATTACATAAATAATTATACCCCCTTTGCAACGTACAGACATTATTAACGGAATAAACAAACTTAAAGTCCATAGTTCAGTTGGTCCTGACAACATTCCCCCCTTTATAGTTAAAGACCTAAGAAATATTTTCATTAACCCTCTGCGCCACATTTTTAATTTAGCCTTGGAAACCGGTGTTTATCCTACTGAATGGAAAGTTTCCAGGGTTACACCTATTCCTAAAACCTAAAACAAAGGCTCCGTTGAAGAATATCGCCCTATCGCAATCCTGTCTACCCCAGCAAAGGTCTTCGAGAACATCCTTCATAATATTGTTTATGAACAAGTTAACAAGCATCTCTGTAACGAGCAGCATGGTTTTAGGAGCAAGAGGTCAGTTGATACAAATCTTCTGACTTTAGTGGACTACATATCTTCTAGTTTGGATCGCGGACGTCAGGTTGATGTGCTTTACTTTGATTTCCGGAAGGCGTTTGATAGGATAAATAATGACACGCTGCTAGAGAGGCTTAACAAAATAGGGTTTTCACCATCGTCTACTACGTTTCTTTGCAGACTACCTACGCGATCGACAACAATTTGTCAAACTTGGTAGGTACGTGTCGGAGGCCTATCATACGCGTTCTGGTGTAAGCCAGGGCTCGATTTTGGGGCCTTTGTTGTTTCTTATCATGGTCAATGATTTTCCTACAATTCTACTTCGTGCAAGATGTCTTTTGTATGCAGATGATTTGAAACTTTACTTAGAAACAAACTCTGAACGTGACAGCTTGGCACTACAGCAAGATATTGATGCAGTATACAGATGGAGCGTAGACAATAAGATGGAGTTTAATCTATCCAAATGCTATGCTGTGACATTTGGTCGAAAGCGAAACCCAATTAACTTCCAATACAGTTTAAATAATAGCAGCATTACGAAGTCCACTGTCATGAGGGATTTGGGAGTCACATTCGCCAAAAACTCACTTTCCATGACCATATAGCCACAGTAGCGAAGCAATCCTTCCAAAGGTTAGGTTTCGTTTTGCGTAATTGTCGTGATTTTCGCACTGCTCATGCCATTAAGATCATATTTAACGCTTTGGTTCGTAGCAAGTTGGAAACTAGCTCGTGTGTGTGGAACCCACACGAAAGTACTTACGCCCTACTCTTAGAAAAAGTCCAAAAAGCTTTCCTTAGAAACTTGTACAAGCGACTGCACCGGTACTATCCTTACCTCTATCCGACAAAATTTTTATTAGGTAGTCTTGGTTACAATTCCCTGGAGGTAAGGAGAGCAAGAAACCAACTACGTGTAGTAGCCTGTAAAACTTTCCGTGGCACTATTGATGCTCCAGATCTACTGGAGTCATTATCGCGCTTTTACGTCTCAGATAACTACTGCCGGGGTAAAAAGCACAGGCTGTTTGCCGTGCCCTCATGTCGTACCGTCGCACGCGCTAATTCACCTGTTCCTCGCACTCAATGATCTCCTGGATTCCAATCCAACTAGTGATCTGTTTGCGGACGGATAGAAGGAGATTTTATCAGAATGCTTGAAGTACTGCGAGAGAAACTTATGAATGGTGTTAATCCTTGTTTTAACTAAGTTTTACTTTTCTTTTGTTTATGTTTTATTGTTGTAAATATGTCGGTTGCTGTAATTGGACTGTTAAAAATAAATAAATAAATAAATGATATGATAGAAAGGGCTAGGGGGAATTTTTTATTTTCTATATAATATAATATAGGGGGAAATTTATGCAATTCCCCCGCTCACTCACCGTAATATATCCGATAGAAATCAGAAAGACTTGCAATCTTACGCCGAGTTTTTAGAGGCTTGATCGAGGCTTTGAAGCCAAGCGCACCATCACATCGTATCATCTCCATGAGCGGCATCCGGGTACGCCTCTCAATGTGCTCTAACGCGTTTAACTGATTTAGCCGAGCCCCCCTATACAGGATTGAACCTGTGCTTATTTACCGCTGCATTGAAAGACGTCTTGATGCTCGTAGAACGGAAAGGATCTGGCATCATAGTTAATGTCAAGTACATCATTCCATTATAATTTACGACATTGGTTTCATGATGTTCTGTTTTTGAATTATTGTCCATGTTTATTCGGGACCCTAATTATAATTAGGGCCCGAAAACCTAATTTATTAATTTAGTATGTCTCACGAAAGTTAAAATATAAGTTTGTTATATCTGTAGCTTTTGACTAGATTTAGCTGGTAACACTGGTTCTGTCGCTGTCGGCGAATCGAATGAATGGCTGATTAGTGTCGTTTGATATCGGAAAAATTGCAAAAACTGACATATTTCATGCGTTTCCTTGTCTGTAGACACAATTAAACCTTAAATTCTTAGTCTGTGTTTGGATTGTTGTGCGCGTGTGTATTTAAAGGTGTTAAAATGACGGTGGAAGGTGATGAGAAAGCGGTTCGGTCTCGCGTGTTCATGGATATTTCAATAGGGGGCTTGCCATCCGGCCGTTTAGTATTTGAGTTATTCAATGATATTGCTCCGAAGACTGCTGAAAACTTCCGAGCATTATGTGCCGGAGATATGGGTGTTGGGAAGAACACTGGAAAGCCGTTGACGTACAAGGTTAGTCCAAGAAGGATTTATCTACTTTTTAGTGCTTGTAAGATCTAGAGTTATTGATTTAGGTTTCATTAGCATTCCTATTGACCTATTTAGCTTCTAAGTTTCATTATCGATCGTAACATGACCTAATTTACCGGCATTTGTATCTATAAGGTTAAGGTTACTTTAGCTACGTATTTCTGAAAATAAAAATGTAAAACTGTTTTAGTAACTGGTAGCCATGGTCCTATTTAAACCAGGCTACTTATTACCCAAGTTGTTGAGTATGAGAGCATGTTCACGTTTTCTCTATCAGTTCAAGTCTGTTTTGAGTTTTAAGTGATTTTCCTGCTCAACTGTTAAATTGAACATACTTTAAATCACTAACAAACTACATCTTACGAATCTTTATAACCAATCTTTGAATACAGATTTAAGGTCCTGTCAATTTCAGATGAATAAGCAAGAAACTCCATAGTTACTCTTGTTTTCTTTTTCAGGGCATGGTTTTCCATAGGGTTGTGAAAGACTTCATGATCCAAGGAGGAGACTTCACCAATGCCAATGGCACTGGTGGTGAATCTATTTATGGTGGTACTTTTGAAGGTAAGAGCACGCATATGCCTAATTTATTAGCTTTAAAACAGTTGACTTACTAGAACTCAACTATTATGAGTAACATTTCATATTTATTAGTTGATAGAAATAATAGTAATTTGACTGGCTAATTAAAACTTTAAACGTAACTACTAGTTTTGCCTAGTAACAGGTAGTTATTATAAGTTTTTAATTAACTGATATTGTTAGTGGCATAAGCCAGTAAACTGGCAGATGGATCACCTCATGGTAAGCAAACTGTATCACTAACGGACAACCGGAACACCAGAGGTATTCTTTTAGAGTTTAGGAATTTGAATTTTGTTGGGGATTCAGGGATTGTGGCCCGGTCTTCCGGTAACCTCATTGACATGACGAAACACAATGCAAGCATTGTTTTACATCGGTTTTGTGTGAGGCCGTGGTATTACTCCACGACCCATTTGTTCCGAAGCATGGCTCGCCTACATTTATTATGATATTGTCATGAACACTAAACTAATACAGTATACGGATCAAGTTATAACAATATTGATTGACTAGTAACTATATGAAGAAGTCAATTAAAATTAAACTTAATTTTTCAGATGAAACCTTTGAATTGAAACATGACCGGCCATATTTACTGTCTATGGCAAACAGGGGCAAAGACACAAATGGTTCACAATTCTTTATGTAAGTTACCCGGAGATTGGTAAGAAATACAATCAATTTTATCTAAGACAGGAGACAGGTAATGGTGTCTCACTATTTGAATAAAACTTGGACAAATAACTATAACATACTCCAATCTGTCAAATTTATTCATTAGATTTTTGACTTTATGTCAATGCAATAAAGTTGAAGATGTAATAGCGAATTTTGAAAGAAAAGGATAGGTTGACCCGCTGGCCAGCATACTATATTATTTAAGTGCTTTATTCAATTTGAAATGTTTGTAAGTAATCACAAAGGTAATCAGGTAATCAAGTACTACTTTTCACACTTCTATCTATAGTGGGGAGACTGGGGAAGGGGGTAATTGGGCCTCCGGTAACCTCACTCACACGACGAAACACAACGCAAGCGTTGTTTCACGTCTGTTTTCTGTGAGGCCGTGGTATCACTCCGGTCGAGCCGGCCCATTCGTGCCGATGTATGGCTCTCCCACACTTCAATTTAGCAAGGTTTAATGAATTTTTTGTCTTGTTTCATTTTTCTTTTTAAATTGATACTTGTAAACTAAATTCATATTAAATAACTCAACCATAAAAGTTTGTACAATGTGCTTCAATTAGATACAGCATGTTTATCGAAAATGGAAACAATATGTATATATAAAGAAAATGACTTAAATCATATTTCGCCAATTTTCAACAACATAATTTGAATGATGTCCGGTTTGATTAAAGTATAGTTGTGATATTATTTTGAGTCACAAAACTGTAACTTTTAAGCAAGGCTAACTTCATAATTTTGGTCTGTAAATTCCAGTTTCCTTAGAATTTAGAATGATAAAACAATTTTCATACTACTTGGGTATGTCTACTAGTGTCTATTGCCCTCAGTATTTTTTTATTCTTACAGCTTCCTTGACTGTATTGGCTGAATGTAGAAAGTAAAAATGAGCCCTATTTCTACATTGGGTTATTTGATTTTGATTTTGTATTCAGGTCAGCATGTACAGTTTTATATTTAGATTTTTTTCTACAATAATTAATGTATGAATCAAGCAACTAATACACAATGTTTTTCTAGTACAAAGCCACTAGTATAGTGTGTACCATATTGTTATGAATGTGTTGTGTATGCGTTGTGTAGAGGTCGCTGCCGGCGGCCGCGGCGCCCGCGCAGTCCCCCGCTATCATTGTTTGTGTTCTGTGTGTTGTAGAACCACACAGCCGGCGCCGCATCTCGACAAGTGAGTATTGTTTTGTTACATATATTTTTTTATAATTTAAGGATTTTTGAGATCTAGATTACAATTTGAGGACTTAGGTCTTAAGTTTATAGCTGGTCGGGTTCAAATCCCTCAGTATAGTTCAGTATTTCATTTATTCAGCAACAAGTAATAGTAATAATTCTTATTTGGACGCGATAAAGAACGAAAATCATACAAATCTACTTGACTAGTTTCCGTCGATTGAAACCGAAATCGGCTAGTAGACCATGCCATGCGGCAGTGACATTAGTCGGCAATACTAGATACTTAAGACTAGCGTGACTTAAAACTTGTTGAGTTACTTCATCAAACAGTCTCGTAAGTAAGCAGTGAATGAGCAGTTGTGTTTGCATTGTCTGTAGTGTGCACGTAGTGTTCGGTACGGTAATCGGCGGCGCGGCGCTGGTGCGTCAGCTGGAGGCGCTGGCGGTGGACCGCAACGCGCGCCCGCTGCAGGACGTCGCCGTCACCAACTGCGGACAACTCGTCAGGGTCAGCGGTCAGTATACTTAAATCTTACCTCACTATACTATTCTTTTTATATATTCGATAGGCTGACGTTTGAAAACTATCTCGCCTGGTGATAAGCTGTGAAGCGGTCTACGTTTTATATTGCAGGTTTGCAGGCCTTATTTTGCTATTGGTACATATTTAGATAAACTAATTGATTTGTTGGTCAAGTTGTTGCAAGTCGGGACTCGGCATTTCTAAGTCAAAGTCAAAGCATTTATTTCAATTAAACCATAGTTTGGTACTTTTGAAACGTCAACAAATACAAAATAAATAACACTAGTCAACAGTCAAAATTTCCCGGGGGAAATACATATTATCATATTTTGTAGATAATCATTCACCTAATATCATAAAAATAATAATTTATTTCTATCACGTATAGAAAATGAGATTTTAGTTTTTTTTTAAAATTGTCACTTTTTGTATCAATATAAGAGGGTAGCTCGAAATTTTTCGTAGAAACGATCGCAATAATATTTTGAAGTAACAATATACACTTCGTTCTTTCACCATGTCTCGCCGTTGTGTCAATTCTCCGGATTTATTTTGTTTTATTTGCGGTTTATATTCGCCGAAGAGTAAAAAAAAACGCATAATGCCTTTGATTACTAAGTGCTATCGTGCATATTTTGCTTTAGATATTCGCAACCAAGACAAATATTGGTTGCCACATATGTGCTGTTACTCATGTCACAAGAATTTGACTAACTGGTTCAATGGGAAACCAACAAAGATGCCTTTTGGTCAACCTATGATTTGGCGAGAACCTAAGGATCATGTGAGTGACTGTTATTTTTGTCTTACGGATGTCAAAGGATTTTCTAAGAAATCAAAGCACACAGTAAATTACCCAGAGGTGTCTTCTGTGACAAAACCAATACCTCATTCGGAAGATCTTCCAGTACCTACGCCTCCAAGTCACGTTGAACACTCAAGTACCACTTCAGGTTCTGATGATGAATTTGAGGACATTCAAGTGGAAAGTACGTCTGAATCACCACATTTGATCAACCAAGCTGAGCTCGACGACCTTGTTAGAGACTTGGACTTGCCTAAGGAAAAATCTGAACTGTTAGGTTCAAGATTAAAACAATGGAATCTGCTTCAACACGACGTTCGCGTTACTGCATACCGTAAACGACATGTTTCCTACGTTAATTTCTATTCTAAAGATGGAGATTCAATTTATTGCAACGATGTTGTTGGTTTAATGGCTAAATTGGATCACCAGCATTCACCAGATGAATGGAGGCTGTTTATAGATTCATCTAAAACTAGCTTGAAAGCCGTGCTTCTTCACAACGGAAACCAATATCCATCCATTCCAGTGGCGCATGGTGCTCATTTTAAAGAAACTTACGACGTCTTAAAGCATTTATTGAATAAAATAGAATATAGTAAACATCATTGGGCAATATGTGCTGACTTAAAAGTGGTTGCTTTACTTTTAGGATTGCAAACTGGGTACACAAAATACTGTTGTTTTTTATGTGAGTGGGATAGCCGTGCAAGAGCTGAGCATTATGTTAGAAAAACTTGGCCACTGAGAACTTCTTATGATCCAGGTCAGAAAAATGTCAAAAATTACCCATTAGTAGATCCAAAAAAAGTACTTTTACCACCATTACATATTAAACTAGGGTTAATCAAAAACTTTGTGAAAGCAATGAACAAAGATGGCTCAGGCTTTAAGTTCCTAAAAGAAAAATTTCCTGCTTTAAGTGATGCATAATTAAAAGAAGGTGTTTTTATTGGCCCAGACATTAGAAAATTAATTAAAGATCCGTTGTTCATTTCCAGCTTAAACGATAAAGAAAAGAATGCTTGGTTGGCATTTGTTGAAGTCACAGAAAATTTTTTGGGAAACAAACGATCGCCTCAATATGAAAACCTTATAAATCAAATGTTAAATGCTTATAAAGAATTGGGTTGCAATATGTCCTTAAAGACTAGAGATGGGCGCTGGGAAAAAACCCAAAGGGAAAAAACCTGGGTTTTTTCCCAAATGGGAAAAAACCCGGTTTTTATGTGGGAAAAAACCCAACAGGCGGGTATTTTCATTTATATTTATTTATTTAAACATTCACTCAAAAATGTATCGGGAATGGATGATTTGTTTATGGTTATATTAAATACAGCGCTGGTTTCAGAAATATCATATTATTATATAATGTGTATTGTGAATTTCATAATGGACACAAATATCCATCAAAGAGTTTGTCTTAAATTTTGCATCGCCAATGGAATTTCGTGTTCGGAGTCACTGAAAATGTTACAGAAAGCTTACGGTGAATCGACTTTATCAAAAACTCGTGCTTATGAGTGGTTCAAA